GTCATTCACGGACATATACACACTCATTGTCACATTTTTTTCTCTGTGATTTATCATAACATTTTGTGTATATTTCCCTGTGCTATACAGTGTAATCTTGTTTATCTATTCTACAATTTTGAAATCCCAGTAGTGTTTTTTTTAAGAAAGTGGAGAATTATTTTATATAAAGAGAAATAATAGTCAAACATCTTCTTCACATCCCCACCAAAATCACAATAATGAAAATTAGTGACAAATGTATAGTTCTTTATAATTTTTAGAATCTAAATTTCAGACATTTAAAGAAAATCACCATCAAAGCTTATGTTAAAATTTCCTGCTCAACTTTGAGCCAGTGGTGTGTTGACACTATTGGTTCCCAAAAGTGGACAATTAAATAGTTAGGAATTCATTAAAACATAGCTTTATTCAGCCATGGTGAGATATTGTATAGCATGGAAACACTACAAATCAGGATTTTTAACAAAAAATTATTTTTAAATTTTTTTTTCACTTTTGTAACTGAGTTTAGTTTACTAGTGCAGACACTAGTTATAATAACTCTTGCAAAATTCCTTGCATAATCTTTTAAATCCATACCTGCAAATAGATTTCTTTCCAAATTTATATACAGTTCCTTTTTATTTTGGAAGTCACTACAAATAATATTAGATGAATAAAATTAAAGTGCTCACTTTGGCAGCATACATACTAAAAATAGAGCCATACAGAGAAGATTAGCATGGCCCTGTGCAAGGATGACATGCAAATTCATGAAGCATTCCATATTAAAAAATAAATACATAAAATTTAAGACTTGCAATTGAACACTAAGATTCATGTCTAAATTTATTGCTTAATACTGATTCAATAATCACCTCTACATCATATAATACACAAGAAGATAAGTACTAAATATACAAATCATGAGTTTTACCTGGCACTACTGGATGGTACTGACTAATGATTACATATATATATAATAACAAAAGCAGGCTTTAGCACAGCAGCGTCTGTAGAACGGCCTAAATCATCAGATATTGTTCCCCCCTAATTCTTTAATCCATATGGAGATCCATTTTGATTTCTGAATATGAGAACTATGCTATTTCTGGATGTGGTGCCACATAGACACTGAGGAAGCTGTTTAGGTCTGAAATTTCTTAGTTTTATACTCCTTTTTTATGGAGGAAGAAAATCTAAGGGACTAATTTCCATTCTCAGACAGATGAGCTCCATTACTTTATATATATCAGGTTTATTTTTTATAAGTAGTGTAGGCAGACCAGGTATTTTGCTATAAATAATCTAAAATAAGAATTTCCTCTTCATCTTCTTGTTAGTAAATTCCAAAAATTGTTCACAAGAATGTCTGATCCTGGCCAATATTGATTCAGGCATCCCTTAGGAGAAAAAAGTTAGCAGATCTTCTCTTAATTATTTTTCCCAAATATCTATTGCAAAAGGATTCATCTTGACTACATTTGATATATTAAAGCCAATATAATATCCTAGATTTCAGGATTTTAAAAAGCATCAAGAATTTTTAGGAAATCCCTAACATGACTAAGAAACTAAAAGAATAAATAACTGTCTTAGAATAAGAATGCCTAACTCATGATGTATTATGCCTACAGAAGAAATTAGGTAATATTTCTGTTTTATTATGGAAGAGAATTTAAATTTAGGTTAAAGAGTGCAAAAGTCAGATAGAGTTAGATTGCATGGATAAGATTTCCAAGAAGGTTGCAGAAGGGTAATGTTCAAGCAGCAGAGTACATGCTTAGCATGCAGGAGTTCCTAGGTTCAATCCCCAGTACCTCCATTAAAAATGAATACACCTAATTACCACCCCCAGCAAAAAATAATAAAATAATACAGTAATAAATAAATGAAATGTTTAAAAAATATTTCCAAGAGGATATATTTTGGCATAATAGCAAGTCCATGATTAATAAATTGGCCGCCATGGAAAAAATGAAGTAAACCAGCTCTTTGCCAATTTTTCCCTTCTTCTTACTCCTACTGAGTTGGGACATATATTCAAGAATGTCATTAAGATTTCAGGTCACTGATTTTGGCTTAGCCACATTTGTGTATACACAAGTCATTAGTATAACTGAATAATTTAGTATATGGAGTAATCTTTTCTTTTGTTTCCTTTTAATAAGTGCGTGAAACTTTTAAAATGGGCTAAAATATTTTGTCACATGGAAGAAAGCATGGTCATCTCCCTTTCTTTTTACCAACATGCTTAAACATTCTTATGTTTTTCTCTTCTCACTTTCCACAATATACAAATGTTTGGGTGTGGATCACTGACGAAAGCACAAACACACATACACTACACCAATCCAAGACACACACAGATAGTTTCCACTGAGGAATTTTGCCCTCAGGTTTGAAACAAAAGCCTGATTTTAAAAATTGCTTAACTAACTTTCAGCGTTTTCTCAAGAGGGTATATCTGCCTCTGCGATTAGCTCAAGTGTAGAGCGATTAGCTCCAATCATCAAAAATCTACCTTTAAGTCCTCCATTTTTGAGGTAGCTACAGAAATAACATTCCCCACACATATTCAGATGGAAGAACAAGAAGCACATACTTCATTTTTAACAAAATTAGAGACACTTGCAATCTTGCATTATAATAAATACAATTACAAGTAGATTAAGAAATCAGAAATAACTTATCAGAAAGACCAGGAAATTTAATCTGCTTTCTCCATCAAATCCATGAAAGAGTCAGGAATTAGAAGCATGTAAGGGAGAAAGTTAGATTAAAGAAACCACTGTCTAAAACCAAGGACCTCATTGAAAGTCAGGATGAGAAGCCTGACTGATTACTAGACATGAAACTAAACCATTCCCACAGAAACCAGAAAGAATCTCTATGAAGATAGTTAGTGACTGAAGTAAAAGGGACCCAAATAAATAAAGGAAAGTCTACATGAGGAATCAGATTAAGGTGGGGCTTTAGGGACTATGAATAACCTAAGACAGGACTTATGCACAACAGCAGCAGTTAGAGAAGCCTCAGTCATGGGGAAAAATGAAAAGGTTTACAGGACTCAGAATTACAAGGCATGCAAATCTAAAGTTGCTTCTAAAAAGTGGAACAATGTGACAGCATTAGTGTAAGGGTGTGCATCATACAGGCTTTCTGGAATTGTTTCCTCTTTATAAGGGCCAGACAGGACATGCTTCTTATTTCAGATTAGGGGCCACCAACACACGCATGGAACACCTCAGCACAAGGAAGCTCAAGATGGATTCCCAGCTGTGGTTTCTTACACTTTAATGTTCACATAGGCATACTCTCCACATATAACCAGCCCTAGCCTTCTTCTAGTCTCAGCAAGACCATTTGCAAATCACCAACATTACAGTAATCAATAAACAATATTGAGAGGCTGGTGACAATTTTCCAGAAACTTGTCTCAGATTTATGACTAAAAAGCTACATTCTCAGTGTGTTTTATGTCTTGACCAGGGATTAGAGCCACTCAGGTACATTTCTTAGTTCAAGTAACATACCACAGCCAATTTAGACCTGCTACATTTATTGCTCACAGCACAATCTCCAAGTGATTTAACATTCCATCACAACTCCAGAGTTTGGACAAACATGCCCTTAATGAGAAATTAGAGAATCTTTCTCTGAAGAGGTTGAATTATCTGCGTGTAATGACATTTTGAGTCCTAAAACAAAGGAAAAATCCTTGCTAGCTTCCTGATATAACTGATGATATACAGAGATGTCCACAATGTACACAGATGTCCCAATAAGTGCATTAATGTTTCACTTTTAAATAAGCATGTTAGCAATAAAAGAACACTGTTGATATGAACAGGAACTCAGAATCTTATCCTCAGAGGTAAGAAAATATATTTTATCTGTGGTAAAGATAAGAAAAATCAGAGAATATTATAAATATTAGACATTAAAAATGTGATACAAAAATGAATAGAATAGGCAAAAAAAACGTGGAGGTTAAAGTTATATAAATCTCCCAAAATTTAGAACAGAAAGACAAAGAGAAGATCAATAGATGAAAATAAGACAATTAGACGAACTATCAAGGAAGTTCAATATCCAATTAAAATAAATTCATTACTGAGGATAGGATGGGAGGAAACAGAAGGAAGTAACAAGAAAATGTTCAAAGAAATCATAAAATAAAACTTATAGTTGAGTGTCATAAGTATCCAGATGGAAAAAAACATGTATTTTGCCCAACTCAGTCTGTATGAGGGCATGTAGTGTAAAATTTCAGAAAATCAGGGGAAAGGGAAAGATATTAAAATAAAGTTCTTACAAGAAGCAACAAAACCAAATCAGGTTACATTGAAGCAGAATTCTAAATATAAATTCTATCAAGTTTCTGAACACTAGTTTTGGAGGCTAAATTTCAATGGTGTAATCCTTTAATGTTATGAACTAAAATAATTTCCAATTCAGAAATTGATACTGAGACAAATCATTAATCAAGTACAAGACTGTAAAAATTATTGTCAGGGGAGCAGTCTCAAAAGACCTTCCTGACATGTGTTCTTTCTCAGTATATTACAAGGGAGTAAAACAGGAAAGGGAGTAGTGTTTGAGAAAACACAAGAAGAAATCTGTGTGTGTGGCATGGAGCTTGGGGACACTGGGGAATTCTTATGATGACAATAAAAAGAAATCCTAGATATACAGCAGTGTAGGAGAAAGAACAACTTATAAGAAGGTTATGTCCAATAAGGAAAATTAACTATTCAATTATTTAACAGGATTAAATGTATGAGATTTTGTAATAAGTATATTTCAGAATTTTTAGAGATTGGAAATATTTTAGTATAAATTCAAAGGAAGTTACACAAATGAAAAATACAATCAATTACTTGAGTAACAGCAAAAATTGTACGAAAATGGAAATGTAAGTAAAATCTGTTGCTTGTCTTGGTAGAGAACAATATTTTCATAAGCAGAATAAGGGATTTAAACAAAAACATGGGACCACTGAGTTTAAAGAATGGAGAGGAGGAAAGTGGTATAGTCTCTATCAAATATAACACACATTTAATCATTATCTGTTACTTAAATTTAAAATATAGCAGTTTTTATCATGTAGGTGAAGAAGATGAGTTCTAGAAGAAATAAATAAAAGATGAAAATCACTTATTTCAAGACTGGTGCTTGAAGAAAAGGGGTTATTGTTTTTAATCTTGTTTTTATAAGCTTTTTCACAATTTTATTTTAAAAATATGTGCAATTACAAATGAAAATTATAACTGATAAGAAAAAAAGAACAGTGTATTTCTATGAGAATGTGTTACTTACTATTATGCCACGCAAGGCTAAGCACCTTGTTTCATGGGGTTTATTTCATTTCATAACTTTTAAACCAACTCCAAATCCTAAATCTATAGTTCTCTAATTTTACTTTCTTACTATTAGTACTATTACAAAAATTCTGTTAAACTCTGTGCAGTGTCTATTGATTAGTTATTGAATTTTATATTTTCCATAAATATGTAAATATGGGTATAGTAGGTCTAGAAGAATTCTAAGTTAGACTAAATGACAGCTAAACTTCAAATCATGAATGCTTATCTGCATAACATAAATGACAGAGGGCCAAGAATAAGAAAGTTCTTAAATCTGCTGGAGGGAGGAAAAAACCTGTTCAAGTCACATTTTAATTTTCAATTTGCATGTTAGGATCAATATGCATCTAAAGTGATTTGCCTGTCACTTTAAGATGCATTCATATTCAGGTGAATGGCTTACTTCTTATTTATTATCCTTCTT